AATTTAGCTTCCATTTGACCCCAGTTATGAATGGGATTCGAGGGCAGACACGAGTACAACTTGAATGTGGGGCCAGTTAGTGTTTCCACCAACTATCTCTTAAGCAAGCGGTCATCTGTAGCTGACTCTTGGCATGCAACAATAAAATGAGCGACTTGTTGCTGGGGGGATCCAGTGTAAGTAGAGTATGGCTTTTTGTACAATTCAGGCTATGGCGGGTTCGAGCTCTTAACTCCCTTCAAATTTTCGGCTTCACTCTATCCTCTTCGAATCAATATAAAATGTTTATAGGTTTGAAGCCAAATCAATCGGCAAAGTCTATGAGAAGTTGCCTAAAGCTATGAGGCTGCAATTGCCAAAAATAGTAAAGAGTAATAGGGTGATATCTCTCTTTCAACATTGTAAATTGTTTGTAGAATTTGGCTTCCATCTCACCCCTTGTATGAACGGAATCAGGGGTAGATGCGAGTAACACTTGAATGCAGGGCCAGTTAGTGTTCCACAAACTTTCTCAAAAGCAAGTGGTCATCTACAAACGACTCTTGACATGTATCAACAAAATGAGCGACATGCTGCTGTGGGATCTAGTCCCATCATACAAAGGCAACCTACCCCTTTGGTAATTTGGAGGGAAAGGCAGCCGGTATATGTAAGCAGGGTATGGCTTTCTATACATTACGGGCGTTGCCGGGGCTGAACTCTGAACTCCCTTCAAACTTTCGGAGATCATAGCTTTGACATTGTCGAGTGTAAATGAGGGTGGACACTCTCATGAAAAAAGGAAGAGAAGAGTAAAGAAGAAGAGAGCAGAAATGGTCGGCTTACTGTGAATGATGAGCGCTACTAAAGTTGATAAAGAAGAAATTACTTGCTCTCCGCAAATTGTCAAAGGCAACATGCCCTAACAAAAAGAAAAGGAATTAAGGGCGGGCAAGAATGAAATTTTCTTGATAACTTGCCCTTAAATCAAAGGGAGATAAACCCCTTTGACATAGAGCTCACCTTGTGTGAGCATGGTGGGGTTTATGCACGACATCCCCCACCATGGATGCTTGTGTGGCACTTCATGGGTATGTGCACGAACTTCACCTCACTTTGGGGAGCGCACTTTCGATGAGATCTAGATCCCAACCCGTTCAGAGAGATGTAGAAGCAACGTTCTCAGGGCTGTTTTGAGCTCTGAAGCAACGTTCTAGACATATATGTATGACCTTTAAAAATTCCTGTCACCAAAAATTGAATATAACTGAGAAATTGGAGTGTAGGGGTCGAGTGTCTTTTTGACTTGCTCTTGATCACCTGAACAGGTTTCATGTGTCCCACGACTTGCTCCGGATCCTTAATTTGATGCGGCATTGAGTGCCTTTGACTTGATTTATATTATATAATATATTAANATTAATATATATT